TTTTTNNNTTTTTTTTTTTTTTTTATGTGTTGATTACATAAATTCCTACGATAATTTGCCGGCCCCTTTCTCTTTGCTACTCTGATTTTTCTAATTTTGTAAATAAAATGACTTTTTTTAAAAAAAAAAAATATTTTTGCAGTTTTATAGTCAATATTTCAGTGTGAATTATAAACATGAACTGAAATTTGGGACTAGAGAGCAAAATTTTGGAAATTGGATCGATCAAGCCGCTGGTCTAATGGTTCATTGGTCTGACTAGTGATTGAATTGTTATTAAATTTATTAATTTTTTTAATTATATATATTTTACAAGGAAATAAATAGCTCGCTAAAGTTGCCGCTATTTGTATTCATGTGCAATTTAGCCGCTAAATCCCGCTAAATCTCCGCTATAGCTACAGTGCCATAAACGTTTTAGCCCGCTATTAAAACCTTGATATTTTATATAATAAAAGTAAGGTGTAAAAAACTTTGTTAACTAAAATTTTAAACAATTTTAAACATTCGAATACTTATTTTAACTAATAAATAACTTATATATATATATATATTATATTTATATATATATTTTGTATTAATATTAAAAGTATTTTTAAATATATTAAAATTTATTTAAAAAAGTTGGACCAGTTCAAACGATCAACCAACTGGTTTTTGACCGGTTGTTGACCGGTTCGCTGGCAGCCAACTTATTCCAGCAAATTGACTGGTTCTCGGTCCAACAGTTCGGACCAATCGATCCAGTCCGATTTTCTAACCATGCTAGAGAGACCCATACAACTGCAACAAGAAAAGTATAAATAGATTGTGCAAAAATTCAATCAAATTTGAAAAAACCGACAGTAATAAAATTTCGGTCCGTTTTTTATATATCGGTTTGGTTATTGACTTTTCATTTTTAAAATTTTATTAATTTCAGTTCAGTTTCATATTGTTATTAAAATAACTTAACAGAACTATATAAAAATATTATTTTTATACTTTCTATATATATATATACATTTATTTCCAAGAAAAATATTATAAAATATTAAATAAGATATTAACAAATAAATATATTTGTTTATATTATAAATAAAATATAAATAAAACTTATTTCGGTTAATTATGATATTTCGGTTTACCGACCGAATAAATTGACTACTTCGATTCAATTTTGTTCGGTTTGAGACAAAAAATCGGTATGTCAGTTGTCTCGAAAAGTTCAACTCGCTTATTTCACCTTTGACATTTGGGTTGGTTGGTTCAACCGAACTGGCCAGTAAACAACCTCAGCTACAACCGTTAGACATTAATAGTTTTTTTTGGGTACAGAGACCTTCCGGTTTCCGGATCCACAGGGGACCGACTAATCCGGAATCAAGCCGGGTAGGACCACAAGGGCGGCAAAGCTCTCCTTCAAGAGTTTTAACATTGCTGCATTCTCATGGCTCGAACACGAGACCACTGGTTAAGTTGGAAGAGACTCAAGTCATCTCATCCAAACGCTCTTGGGTGACATTAATAGTTTTTAACCATTATGCATACTTCCATACACATGCAATGCATTTTAAACATAAATATAAACAAAATATGACATTTGACAACACAAAAATACATTTTATTAAAAAAAAAGTATAATTAATCGACATTTCTAGTCATAATTTGTCTCACACCGAAATTCGTTTAACATGTTTCATAAGATATGATCGATATTTCAATATTTAATTGCAATAGTTACAAAATTAAAACAATGTAATAATGATAATAATAGGTCAAATACCAAGATAATAGGCATTTGAAGGCTCGAAGAGCATGTTTGTGTATGGAAATTTTTTTAAAAAAAAATCCAACATTTTAACTCAACCATTTTTTTTAACCCAACTTTAACTCAACCTCACTATTCAATATAATTAAATAATAGTATCAATCAATCATTAATACACACCACATCAACTTTAATTCACTATTCATCTACTCACATTATTTTAACTAACTATGACATCAAACCATCTCTCTCCTACTTATACATCAAATTATTTTAATTATTTTATTTTAAATATTATTTTAATATACCCACTAACAACTAACCATACTATTTTTTTTCAAAAATTAACTAAACCAAACTAAAAATTCCAAACAAAACAAAAAATTTTCATAAACAAACATGCTCGAAACCGCCATGCCTCATTGAAAAGGGGCTACGGCTGCATTGTTGACTTGTACTCGATTCAATATATGATAACCTAAAATTAAATGAAGCCTATAGTACCTTTGTAGGTAATATTATGACTAGGGTAAATTAAGTTACTAATTTTGCATATTAGGATTTTGGGAGGATTTTTTTTGACTAGGCTATCTTAACTATTAGACTGTTGAGATTGTAATAGTTCTATTTTCTATTTCCTGGTTTTCCTTTATATTTTCTTTTTGTAGGTTGGTAATATTAGTTAGTTGTGTTTAAAAGCGTTTTTACGCCTTTCTCTTTGTTCCTTCATATAAATACCGTGTATTTGACCGTTGGTTTCAAGTTTAATGAAAATATCAGAAAAAGGAATTTTTTCCCCCAAAATATCTTTCATCTCCATCTTCTACATGGTATTCAGAGCTATTACCAATTGAAGCTTATGATTTTGTTAGAAAATGTCGTAATTTGAAAAACTTTATAAATAAAAGTATGACGTTCAGTGCGATAATTATGCATTTTTGTTCAAATAGTAACGAATTAACCCATTTTTTTGTTCAGATAGGATGTTGTATGTCTTGCTTATTTAGTTATTATTTTACATGTAGATGCATTTTTCTCAAGTCATGCAATATGCGTGTGCAAATCCCTGATCATATTGGCAAGATTTTTTTTTTGATACAAGAAGAAGGCAAAGCCTAACGGCTTGAGTTACACATTCCGCGAGTAACAAACACCAATGAGGTTGTGTTCTAACCACGGTCTAACACCATCTGGTGGATCGATAAAAAAGGGATACCCCAAGGATCATTCCGCAGCGAAGGAAGCAAAATAGTCGGCAGCAAAGTTCGCTTTGTGGAAAACAAGATTTACCTTGACCATCCAGTTTCGACTAAGAAGCTCTTTAATATCCAGAATGAGCCCAACGTGCACCCCAGATGCCTTGTCCAACATCTTGAAAAATCTCGCGACACTCTCATTATCCACTTCAGCATTAATACTTCTAAACCCCAAGTCCCATGCCAAAGTAAGGCCCCAAAATAATCCCCAAAACTCCGCCGTCATTATCGAGCAGAACCCGATTTTCATTGAAAAGCCTCCTAACCAATGGCCATGCTCTTCACTAATGAGTCCTCCCCCACAACTCACACCCGACGCGCAATTAAAGGAGCCATCCGAGTTAAGTTTCACCCATCCCGACGGAGGTATTTCCCATCGTATCCACCTAGGAACTCTCATGCAGCTAGTCACCCCCAGTTTGCTAACCCAACGATATAACCATGTATCTAGTTTAAACCATCAAACGCACCCCTTGTTATTCCCTGGAAGAGGAACTCATTTCGCCACCTCCAGAGCTTTCACACCACCACGCCAAAAATTCTCTCCCAGTTAGCCACATTGATATTCGGTGAGTTCACCAAATTCAACCATAACCACGCCTCTAGGCTTAAAGCTAAGAAATTAGCATGAAAAATACCTGGGAGCTGGCGTCTCCAAATTTCCTTTGCTAATGAACAACCGCGTACTACATGCAACACAGACTCCTCCGCTTGGCCACACTTCCCGCAAAGCGTAATGTTCGTCAAATGTCGTCGTTTCCTGATCATATGGGCAAGATTTAATTTGACATTCTACATGTGAAAAACAATGATATAAAGAACAAATATATAAATCTAAAAAAATACAATTTATTATTTTCTCTCTAAACGAGTGTAAAAAAAAAGTACTGTCTTACTTATATTTGTTTATAGTATATACATATACTTATTTCCTTTATCAATATAAAAAAAACCATAGTTAGGAGTGCACACGAGTCAGAGCCAAGCCTCATTAATTTAACCAGCTAATAAACGAGTTCGAGTCTTAACAAGCCGAGTTACAATAATTCACATAAAAACTCTTATTTCTTAGTCTTAACAAGTCGTGCTCAACTTAGCTTGTTAACTAGATAAGCTTTGGAACGAGCTTGAATTAAATTTACCAACAACTCAATTCATTTAACAATTTTAATCACATTTTCCATTGGATCATTTGAAGTAGAAGCGATTCCAACTTTTTGACACCATTTCCACTTTTTCAAAAAGGTTATAATATTAATATTAATATATTTTTAATCTGACCAATTCTCATCATAAAAAAATACAATACTCTCACCTAATCAAATAATTTTAGATTTCATTATTCAACATGGCCCATTCTAGATTATACATATATTATCCAAATCAATCTTATTAATGTACTCAAAATTTCAAACTAGTAACTAATAGTTGCACACTTGCATCTTGTCCTTTTTTTGATATAAAAGAAATAAAATAAATTAAAGTGAGCTTGGTATTTTGATAAATTGAAAAAAAATTAATAAATAGTACAACTTTGGTAAACAACTCATTCCCATGATATTTTTTCATATAACAAGTA